TCTACGTATTTAACTATAAAAGGTCAATAATTAGTATGTTGGTTTAATTGGTATCACCTCTTAAATGTATTTGCTTCTGGTACTAGATTATCGGAATTTCAAAACATTTTTGGTTTGTGTTTCAGTTTGTTTATAGATACCATTTAAATGGAAAATTATTCCTCACTACATGAGGCGAATTAGTTTTTGAACCAAGTCAATGATTTAATGGTTTCACCGGGAACGACATTTAAGGTTACCGCCCCTTTGCACCCAAGTGCTGATGGATTGAATGGATTGTCTCCCCGCACAAATTAATGCATCATGAACAGATTGAGAAGGCGGTGATTTTAGGGGCGTTTTGAATCGCGGCCAAGCGGGAAATATGGGGCAAATATTTCACAATGGCTGAAAATGTATTCTGTCACCCTGTTCTATGAAATAGAGCTCTATTAGCAATTTCGCAACACACATGCATACACACATACACACACACACACCCTGAGTCGGAAAAACTTAGTTCTGCAATTTTGTCCGTATGTCTGTGTGTGTATGTGTTTGTGTCTGTGTCTGTGAACACGATAACTTTAGTAACGTTATAGCTAGGTTGATAAAATTTCATATTTAAGTATTATATCAAGTTTGTAGTTCTGTATCAACTTTTCAACTATTTCCGGTAACCGGAAGTGGAACTTATTCTTCTTTTGGTTTTTCAAAAGCCTAAAACTTGAGTACTGTTTCAGATAAATAAACGAAATTTCACATATAGTAAACAATATAATTCTCTGCCTACCATAAAATTCTGAGTAATTTCCGTTGACCGGAAGTAGTACTTTACATTATTTCCGATTTCTCAGAAAACGCATATGAATTTATAAAGTACTAATGTTCCGTACTATTATACACGCATTATTCGCTGTTCACTTATCGCGCAATTCTTTGTTCTACCATATTCTATTTTAAAAAGTTTAAGTATGTGAAAATTGATTAAAAAGCATGCCTTATCCCGAGTTGCCATCCCCCATAGTGAAAGTCTAGGGGAGATCACTCCCGGTTTATTTTAATGGAACGCTTAAAGTTCAATTTTTATTTTTAAAAAAGAAGTTTCAGAAAAAATTAAACCAAATTATGAAATTGAAGATAAAAAAACGTGTCTTTCATTCCATATCAATAATGATTAATTAGTTCTTCCAATGCGAAAAATATTAAAATTTGACCACTACGGTTTACCATACTTTGCATTTACATATCAGATGCTGATGTCGATAAAAGGTTCAGATCAGGAAAGTTTTAATTGAAAGTCCGTCCTAAGCTATGCTGAAAGCATGGTGAATAAAAATGGCGCACAGTGCAGGAAATTTGAAATGGGCGGGGCAACTATAAGGTGAATGTCATGCCGAGCAGACGCCATCTTGTGTATACATCTGAAGCTGAATTTACTTAACACAGTTGCACTTCCGTATCTGAAATCATTGCATTTTTTGGAGGGCAGTCATTATTATGTCCCCTAGTGAGACTGGCCCAGATATGTTATTTCTGTGTGTCCAAATAATTCTAACTTCGGAAAATAAATAACAAAAAGAAAATGATAGCAATTTTTTGACAAAAAAATCACTTCTGTGTTTTGTGTTTAATGTAGGAATGTATGAAGCCGAATAGTATAAAACTAATATGCTTTTTTTTTTATTGTGACGTAGACCTATATCTAATGTTGGATAATCATAGTCATACAGGAGCTATGGATATACCTGTTAGATTGCCTAAGGCAGTGGTTCCCAACCTTTTTCGAGTGGCGACCCCCTTTTATAAAAAGTAAGTGACCCGCGACCCCCATAGAATTAAAAAGCCGAAATTAGTATGGAATTTAATAAGCACTAAAATAAGATTTTCTAGTAGACTTTCAATATTAACTACTCTTGATAACATGAGCAAAATTGCATACTATTCACTAAACCTTTGTTGATAAGATTTTAATTTTTTTTTTAAATTGTAATCGCCAACCTATGTCATTATAATTATCTTAATTTCGTTTTTAATCGAAGAATAGTGTTGAAAATCTGACGAAAAGTCAATCAATTTTACGTTTGGGTATAAATGGTGAATACTACACCAAAATTGTGTCTGCAGTTTTTCATCTTACTCGGAATCATTCTGCAAATCAAAGAATTCATCTTGTAATTCATCGGGAATGCTGGCAACATCAAGGGAAGGAGAGAATGGGTAATGCGTAAATGCAGATTCTTCTTTTTATTCAGCTCAGAGAAATAGCGATGCAGTTCGTTTTCAAGAGATTCATGATGCCCAGAAATCGCTTCTTTCAAAATTTTACTTATCTCACAATTAGATTCATCTACCACACCGCAGAGTTTCTTAAATTTACAATATTTTCAAGATTTATTTTCTTTACCGATTATGCAGCTTTGATAAAAATGCCCCGAGATTATCATGGAAAGTTATATTATTCGATCATTTTTCCTGAAGCTTCAGGTTAAGCTTATCTTGATGTTCGAACACATCTGCTAGGTATGATACTCTCTCCAACCACTCTATGTCGTTTTAAGTATACCAAAAAGTCTTGTTTCCTTTGCACTTCCAAGAACAATTTGATTTCAGATTTCAATTCAAAAACACAATTTACAACATTTCGTTTGACAGCCATCGTACTGTAGTGTAGAAGAGCAGTTGCGACTTATACTAGCAATGGACTCTTGATGTCGATTGGTTAGGGCAGTGGTTAGGGAGCTAAATCTTTTCTGTTTTCTGAAAGCCCGATGTTGAGCTAAACATAGATGGCGCGCCATCCGTACAAACCCCCACGAACTCACGTCTGTTGATTTATCAACTTGAAAAGCAAACAATGGTGAAAGCTTAATTTCAATAAAAATGTGTTATTTAACATTTACGTACATGCAGCGTTTGATGAGATTTTCTCCTATTGTTTTTTTTTTTTTTTTTGCTTGGCATTTTCTATCGCGACTTCATTTGATGCTTTCACTAATGCTGGTGAAAACTTCCTGTTCGATCAAGTCTCTGGCGTTTGCAACTAGCTTCATACCGACGAAAGAACTCCATATATTTTTGGTATGTTCCGAATGACTCGTCTCAAATGACGTTTTAGTTATGAAGATTTAATAGATTCGTGACTGAGAACAACTTTGTACAGTGTGCTTTTTTTCTTCTCTATTACTTTTCCAGTGATGTTAATGAAGCCGAATTTTAAAAAAACAAGGTAATTAAAAAGTCTAGTGACAATTTTAGCGCAATTTCCTTATGTTATCTAAAAATAGCTCTGTCGTAGCGTAAATCAAGAGCAGGGTTAGTAAAACCATTGGTTAAAATACATGTTTTATTTACAATAGAGTTACATGACATTGCGCGCCTAGCTACTGAACGTGATGACGCAGCCATTGAGCGTGATGGCGCAGCTATTGAACGTGATGACGCGTGTGGTGTGGTTGGAAAAAATGCCTACTAATTCGGTCCAAATTTTAATTAATTAAAAAATTTTTTGTGACCGAACGAAAGGATATTTTTGAAAACTTTCTTCGGCAATATTGTTCTAAATTATGGCAGGAATCGATTGGTAAATGTTTCAAGTCACTAAGTGGTCTGGTTGCCGAGATATGGGCAAAAAACTGCTTTTTCGAGGTTTTTTTTGGCTTTTCCGGGAAATCCATGAAAGAAACCCGGAATTTTTATGGCCTATGTTCATCCTCGTAACTTGCTTAACATAATTGCTTTTGGAACATGTCATTGATATTGCTCCGTTGAGGAGAAGATACGACTTAAAGCTGCGGACACACATCCATCCATCCATCCATCCATCCATCCATTCATACATTCCCAGAAAAGACGAGTTAATAAACGCAATTCTCCAGAATGGAAATTGCGCTAAAAATCTTCTAAATATTTATGTTTTGTTTCAAATTACTAAGGTTTAGTATACCAGTTGGCGACCCCCCAGAAAGACCTTCGCGACCCCCAGGGGGGTCGCGACCCCCAGGTTGGGAACCCGTGGCCTAAGGAGATTCAGCTATAGCTGGACCACAGCCGTGAACCTATTTGTCAAGTGCAATTATTTCAAAAGATGGGCCACAGCTGTGAATCTTCCTGTCAAATGCCTAGAATTTCAAGACTTTGATCAGAAGGCACACGGCTACAGTTGTGAACCTACCTGTGGTATCTAGTATTTCTAGAGCTGGACCACAGACACACGGTTATAACTGGACCACAAGCACACTGCTATAGCTGGACCACAGGCACACGGCTATAGCTGGACCACAGCTGTGAACCTACCTGTCACGTGCCTGGTATTTCTAGAGCTGGACCACAGGCACACGGCTATAGCTGGACCACATACATACGGCCATAGCTGGACCACAGACACACCGGCTATAGCTGGACCACATACATACGGCTATAGCTGGACCACAGCTGTGAACCTACCTGTAAGGTGCCTGGTATTCCTAGAGCTGGACCACAGACACACGGCTATAGCTGGACCACAGACACACCGGCTATAAATGGACCACAGTCACACGGCTATAGCTGGACCACAGACACACGGCTATAGCTGGACCACATACATACAGCTATAGCTGGACCACAGACACACCGGCTATAGTTGGACCACACTCACACTGCTATAGCTGGACCACAGGTATACGGCTATAGCTGGACCACGGCTGTGAAACTACCTGTCAAGTGCCTGGTATTCCTAGAGCTGGACCACAGACACACGGCTATAGCTGGACCACAGACACACGGCTATAGCTGGACCACATACATACAGCTATAGCTGGACCACAGACACACCGGCTATAGTTGGACCACACTCACACTGCTATAGCTGGACCACAGGCACACTGCTATAGCTGGACCACGGCTGTGAAACTACCTGTCAAGTGCCTGGTATTCCTAGAGCTGGACCACAGACACACGGCTATAGCTGGACCACAGGCACACTGCTATAGCTGGACCACAGGCACACTGCTATAGCTGGACCACGGCTGTGAACCTACCTGTCAGGTGCCTGGTATTCCTAGAGCTGGACCACAGACACACGGCTATAGCTGTGTAGTTGTAGCCCATCACGATGATCGGAATGACGAAAAACGTCACGACGAGAAAAATCTCGTACTTTATCGTCAGGTCGAGATCTCGCGGTCCGCATGACGTCAACAGGATTGTCAGATTTGGCGGGATTAATGCGTCATGATTTTCCTGACAAAAAAAAAAAATAAAATATAATAATTAGGAGTTATACAATGATAGACACATCAATAGATTTAGTTTTAATCACAGAAAAAATGTAAGTTTGACATTCAGAATATTAAGCCGTCAATATTAAAAGGAGTTTGGCTTAGACGATCTCGGACAGCGAGCTTTAGAGCTTCAGCACAAAATAAATAAAGTCTATGATAAGCATACGTATTTCTTTAATGCAAAACATGGTAATGAAAACAGAAGAAAATTTTATTTGGAAAATATTTTAATAATGATAATTATTTTTTTATACATAATTTTTTACTACAATCGAATTAAAATCTTTATTAAATTTCATTTTTTATAATGTCGGAAAAATATTTCAAAATAAAAATGTAATCACATTTTGTCTGTTTTTTTTTTTTATAAATTTTATTTTTCTCAACTGTGAATTAGTTTTGGCCTGACAAAATTACTCAACGTAACTTTAAGTTAAAAAAAAAACTTTTTAAATTTATACCAGCCATTAAATTATTTTTTTATAATGAATCTTAAATCCCCCTCAGATAAAATCAAACAATTATTTCATTCTTAACCAAGTCATTAGCTGCGGGGGGTAATCACATGCACTATCGTGCCGACCGATCCGACCAGAAGACGAGAGATTTCAATTATCGTTAATTGCTGCATGTATTTTGTTGTTGGGTCGATGGTCTTTCAATTCAGAAAATAAAAAATAAATAAAAAATAAAAACATTAAAGAAAATCCTGCTTTTCAAAGAATTCAGGTAAAACTTTTTAAAGGCAACGTCATTTAAAAATTAGAATGTATTCATAATCGATTCTGCAACTGTAATCTTTGATATTCCCCCCATCCCCCAACCATCTCTGAATTCTTATTATATTATACTCGGTGTATGAAATGGAAATGAAAGTAGGAATTAACAACTGCATCATTTGGATTTTCCTCTCATTGAAATGTTTATATTGAGCTATCAATGATATCAAAGGAAACGAATACGCCTTTTTGTTTAAATTGATATTTTTTTAAAATACAAATTATATAAGATTTGGTATTTATTTTCGGATGATAGAACGACGGGGGGGGGGGGGGGGAATGAATAGACTGAATGGATAGATTACATTTTGTAAAAATGTATCGCTTATATTTTATCTTATACTTTACTAACACCGTCATGCTCTTCTAGATTTTTAAATATTTTTCCTCTTGTATATGTATGTATATATGTATAATATATATATATATATATATATATATATATATATATATATATATATATATATATATATATATATATATATATATATATATATATATATATATATATATATATATATATATATATATATATAACTAATCAGAGTTTGAAGAGAAAGGCTTAGTGACCATTTTCCGCTCTTTGGTGACTTGTTTTGGAAATAATTGTCACGAGCCGGCCCGCGGCATAACATACGCCGCTATTTAGTTGTTTCTAATTTTCAATAATTCATAATTTGTGAATTCGACAGTACCAACGCTGACACTGAAAATATTTCTTTAAAACACTATAAGTAGCTCGTTAAGGACCATAACCCCCCCCTTCCTTCCCTCCCCCCCTCCTCCCCCCCTACGTTTAAAATCGTTGGCTCTGCTTGTAAACATTTAGAGTGAATACAGCTCACTAAAACCATGTAGGGGTGGGGAGGTAGGGAGAGCTTTTGCAGCTTGTTTTCTAACGGCTCGAAGAAGAGAATTATATATATAGATTAATTAATCAGGATATCTTCGTTCCGGTATGCGGAATCTTCTGAACGAGTTGGAGGGGTGCTGATTCGATTGAGTAATCCCATAAGCCATATTTAAATTAGTTAAGAACAAAGGGAAAGTGCGAAACATAAAGCTGATGAAATAAAAGCTTTCAGCATATTGAGTTATACCATGAAAAAAAATTAAAAATGTATAAAAACAACCCACAGAAAATACCAGTCCTTAAATAGTTTATGCAGTAACACTTATTTGGGAATTCCCGATTGTTGGTTTAAGGAAAAACCCAGGGGCTTACCTGCATGACAATGAGCCGAGGAATGGCCGCCACATGGGCGACAATCCAGATGACGGCAACACAGATGATGACCCGAGACTTGGTCTGCTGGAAGGTCAAAGGTTGACAGATGGCGAACCAACGCTCGATGGAGATACTGGTCAGTGTTAGTACTGACACAATGACCGCTACAGTCTGTGGATATAAGGGGAGGGAATAGTAAGGCATTGGGTAGTACGGCCACAGTGGGGATACAAGGGAGAGAATAGTAAGGCATGGGTTGAGGGTACGACCACAGTGGGGATACAAGGGGAGGGAATAGTAAGGCATGGGTTGAGGGTACGACCACAGTGGGGATACAAGGGGAGAGAATAGTAAGGCATGGGGTAGTACGGCAACACTGGGGATACAAGGGGAGGGGATAGTAAGGCATGGGGTAGAGGGTAGGGCCACAGTCTGGGGATACAAGGGGAGGGAATAGTCAGGCATGGGGTAGTACGGCCAAAATCTGGGGATATAAGGGGAGGGAATAGTAAGGCATGTGGTAGTACGGCCACAGTCTGGGGATATAAGGGGAGAATAGTAAGGCATGGGGTAGAGGGTAGATAACTCTAAAACACAAACAGCTTTTTATTCTGATTTTCCCCCCTGAGTTTAGTCTGGTGCCAATTCTATATTCCTCATAGTAACAATATTCAGATATATATCAAATTATGTTTGGACGTTTTGTTTTTTAAAGGATTAAAAAATTGAATTAAAATGTACCAATATAATTATGAAGCCTTGATCCAGATTTGCTAAAATTGACAGTATAAGGCGGTGATTAGTTACTGTTTAAAAAAAAATTAATTTGCATTTGGTGTAGGGTGGAGACAGCATGGTGTGACGTCATTAAATAGCGATGGGGGTTGATTTTTCAACGATGAGTGACGATGTGGGAAATAAGAGGAAAGGGGAAGGGGCGATCGGCAAGAAAATTCGTATCTTCACGACTCCTTATTCATAGTTCTATGTTGTATCGCGAGGAACAGATGCACATTAAAACGAAAGTGGTAAACCGGGACAGCATGAGGAAGAGATGTAAAGTACAAAGTGCTGTTCCAGTCAGAGTTTCAGAGAAGGGGGGGGGGGGCGAAGAAAGTCTACCCCCCCCCCCCCCCCACTTCGAACGAAATGATATTTATATAGAAAATATATACTTTTAACAGTGTTCTCCCCCCCCCCCCCCCCCAGGAAATTTTAGTCCGCGCACCCCCCCCCCCCCCCCCTCCTCCCCCGAAAATTTCAAGTGCCCGCCCGGAGAAAAAAGTCTGGAAGAAACACTGTTTCCAGTTTTCATCATCAATAACAAATATGTATGCTAAAAACAAACAAAAAAAGGTTCATTTAAAAACAACAACAACAAAAATATCGTAACAAAGCCTGTAATGTACAGTAATGACGTGTCAATGCTATCGAGATAGATTGTTAATAGATTGTACACAAATATGTGGCTGGGCGGAAATAGAAATATTTTTCGACTTATTCGAGGTAGAAAAAAGGATAAGCTATTTTTAGCTCTTTGATTGCTGAATTATTATTAGGTGATTGCCATACATTAATCAGGATATATTTCAGCTAGGGGAAAACTCTTTTAGGAGCATATTGGGTAATAACTGGATTACTATAAATGTTCGCTCGGCGACCATTGAAATAACAAATTCATAATCATTCAGTTATCGCCCATTTAGAAGGGTTAAATCAATCTAAATTACTTTTTGCAATGGTTTTTATAAAACTTTTTTTATTATTTTCTTAAATTTTATCCCTTTTATTCTACAGCTAATTTAATGTTGCATTTATTTATTGTCGAACATTTTAAGAAATGCATTGAGTGCGTTCAGCAGTAGCTAAAATTGACAGCTTAACTAAATTAAAAAAAAGCAAAATAACAAAGGAAGTTTGTAAAAATAGTTGGAACGCATCCGCGGTGAATGCTTTGTAGAAAAAAAAAACGAAAAAAAAAACGAAAAAAAAAAAAAAAACGACTCACGGCAGTTCATTACTGTCAATGTTTATTTTTAAACGGTCGAAGCCACAACAAAATTGAGTTCAAAGCCTTCGCTTTGTTTGAAGAAGACAATCTTTGACAGATCCATCGGTTGTGATTTGTTTCAAATCCGTTTGAACAATACGCGGTAATTTGATATATTGACACGGCATTACATGTTGTATTGATTCGGCATTATATAACATTACAACAACCAGTGTTAGTTTAACGACTTAACATTTGTTTTGAAGTTTTTGTTCTGCTGTTGTAAAGCGAGTTTTATTTTAACATATGAACACGTATTCTACAGTTGTATTAAGGTACGGCGTGGCCTAACGGTAGAGCACTAGACTGCTAAGATCAAATCCGGGTTTAAAATCAGTAGGAAGTCCCTGTCCACCCATCTTTTATGGGTACCTAGCTCATGTTAGAGAAGTATAGACGGTGGGGCATAGTTCTGACCATACTATCCCTATACATGCCGAGGTCATGAAACATTTGAACTCTACTTTATCTGCCCAATATATAGAGTTTTTTCAACACCTTAAGAATTATTCACAAAATGTTGTTTTATCGTAAAGCAAGTTTTATTTCAACACATTTATTAGTCACAATTTTGTTTTGTAAAGTTGATATCTCCATTTAAAAAAAAAATTATTCACACACATTTAAAAAAAATTATAAAGCAAATTTTATATCAACGTCCAAACAAGTATTCTCAAATGTGTGTGTACTCGTAGAGCTAACGACATTATCAAGGACCACAGTGCCGTATCGGCTTCAGTTGCAATTCTTTCAGACGTTAAAACGGACATTATATCACTGACCAGTAGTAACCGGGTTAGCATGTACTTATCTCTACTTCTAATTTTAAAACCAAAGAGCTTATTTTAGTAAGACAGACAATTAGTCGCCTCCTAATACTAGAATTAGCAACATATTAATTATATGTAGTTTTGATAGTTTACTAACTTTAAAGGGACATAACCTACTATCAATCTTGAATAAAAGAGTGACCGCCCCTTGGAGAAAAAAAATCACCAAAGCGCTCAAGGCTACGAATAGCTACTAATTACTTCCACTGTAATAAACAAGTCACTTCAATCAACACAAACTCATTCGGAATACTAAAACTAAAGGTAAATTTGAAATTCGTGAACGATTTTGTAACGTACTTTTAAAAATTGTCATCTGAAATATAAGAACTGTGATTGCTTAAAGTTATTAAACGCGTGGGACGCATTAAAAAAAAAGGGATATTCTTGGATTTTCTTTGGATTAAAATAAACTTCAGCCTTGAAATCAACACCACAGAGGGATGGACACAGGAAGCAGTGGTGCAGTGCATTAGACGCCATGATGGTGTTCTAAATAAACTTCGGACCGAGGTGGCACATTTTCGTTTGAAAGTGTGACGCGCATCCGGAAACGTCCGGAGTAGTCTATTTAAAGCTTTGTGGTGATATTGAACAGGAAATAAAAGATACGGGAAAACCCGGAGTGTCTTTCATAAGGTTTAGTGTCAAGGATTTAGGGCTAGGGACAGATTGTTAATTAAGGAAAAAAAGGGGAACAAATAAAAAAAAAATGCGGACTTTGAAGTAATCATGTTGTTTAATTGACGTGTGTATGTGTGTATGTGTGTGGTTGTGTGTGTGTAATGGCTGGGAGAAACAGAACTGCCTCTAACCCCCGGGGATACATGTCCGTTATATGGTATCAGTTGGTCATTAGTACGGTCTCGGCGTATATCGTCCAACAGATAAGTGCTGGCTCATGAGTCATTGTCCTCTTGAAACCAAAGCCGGTGGATGGAATCTATTACAGTCAAGTTCCACACGAGTCTAGTCAAGTTCTAGTCTAGTCAAGTTCCACACGAGTCTAGTCAAGTTCCACACGAGTCTAGTCTTCCACACGTCTAGACAAGTTCCACACGAGTCTAGTCAAGTTCTAGTCTAGTCAAGTTCTAGTCTAGTCAAGTTCCACGCGAGTCTAGTCAAGTTCTAGTCTAGTCAAGTTCCACACGAGTCTAGTCAAGTTCTAGTCTAGTCAAGTTCCACACGTCTAGACAAGTTCCACACGAGTCTAGTCAAGTTCTAGTCTAGTCATGTCCCACATGAGTCTAGTCAAGATCCACTTGAATCCACAATGTGAGATTTTGGAACCATAGCATGTGCATACGTCTTGGTATGGTAACCAATGAAGTTAAGCCAAACCAAAGTTCACTCAATGTAATGGTGGCTACTTAAGTATATATTTTAAAAATAGGTGGACCGTTTATCTGTCCATGTCGAGAGACAGTTGTGGTTGATCCCAGTAGTTCCATAAAGTATACGTCATCACATGCGTGTCCTGCATCAAGTGGTCCTACATTCAAATCTCTACAATGGGTATCTGACCATAGAGGCAGTCATGTTGTATCCCAGTAGCTCATACAGTCTATGTCATTACCTGCGTGTCCCGCATTAATTAGCCCTTAAGTCCTACACAAGTGATCTGTCCATATCGAGAGACAATCATAGTGTATTCCAGTGTTTCCATACATTCTACTTCATCACCGCCGGTCCAAAAAGACAATCGTGCTGGATCATAGTAGTTTATACAGTCTACATCATCAATGACCTGCCCTGCATCAAGTGTAAAGTTCCCCTTTGAAACCTGACGGTCTATGGGGCAAGTGAATTAGAGTTCACCTGTTTCTGTAACCTCGGCATATGAAGAGATAGTGTGGTCAGCACTATGCCCAGCCGCCTTTACTCTCCCTAACGTGAGTTGGGTGGACTCAGGGACGGTCTACTGACTTGAACCCGGATTCGAAAAAGAGACTTTCGGGTTAGCAGTCCAGCTCTCTACCGCTAGACCACCCGTCCAGCATCAAGTGACCTTTCACTTAATGTCTCGCATACGATATCGGTGAGTTAAGTGTGCTACCGAAGCCTGATTTCCAACTCCACATCTAAACGGCTTTGTCACTTTGTTCAGCTCTCATCGGGCTACACGTTAACTTATCTCAATATTTCGACGCAACCTGTTCAGCAGATGAGTCCTGTACTTCTCCCCCGTCTTATAATTGGTTGACCATACTCTGACTTCGACTGCGGGTGCATGAAATTAACATTAGAAAACTCGGTTTGTAAAGAAATAAGACCTAGGAAAACAAAACACC